TTTATACTTGAGGTTTAATTCGCGCTCTGGTCAAATTAATTTGCAACGATGAACGTGTTGCTGCCTCGCGCTCGCTGTTAGCGTTGCATTTCGAATGTAGGGAGATTAGCCCCGTTCATTAAACACGAACCTGCGCCTGCATCCACAGATTTGCCCCGGCATATCGCATCCCACGTCATCGTCCTCGAGTGCTGTCGAGTTTTCGTACTTTCGTGCCTCCATCTGCGCCACCACTCTATTCCCTATCGCGCTATCTCTTTCGAATCGACCAGTCGGAATCGACTGCGATTCCGACTGGCGGTGCGCGGCCGTTACGGCGAATTTCAGGCAGATCAGCCTCGAGAGCGTTTGCCATGAAGGTAGACCGATGGTTTTCCGGCTTTTGGTTGGAAAATAAACCGTGTCGGTGTTGTTGTTCGGCACCGGGGAAAGGATTTGATCAAGAAGAGTGGGAAATTGGGCTGTATCGACGCGGTGAGTGGCCATCGAGTCGGTTTCGAGTTAGCCAGCCACCGGTGAGTGTTTGCCCGAACGTTTTGAGTGTGAAACGAGGATAGTGGCTCTTTTTGACTCGGTTGCCTTTGAGATGGAATAGCGAGACTGGGCAAATTGCTTCGCGATCGCTGCGATTCTACTTCTGCGACGGTTTGTCTAATCGAGAGGTTAGGTTAGGTTTTTTCTTTTATTTTATTTCGTGATTTACGCGATATACGGTAGAGACAATATTTACACCCACTGAATTTCGAAGATTTATACTAATTTAATATAAAACCAACTTCTTTCAATGAGTAAATAGAAAAATTTACGCTCGAATTTTCTGCGGACACATCACGACCGACATCTATCGACCCCACACGTAAATCATCGATTTCTCTTTGCAACGGTAGTCGACTAGCTTCCGTTCGCGCGTCATGTCACGCGCATAACCTCTTATTTCGCTGCACGCGTAGAACGCATTATTTCTCTTTGTATTCCAAGTCGTTAAAATGCGTTTAAACCTTGTTACAGTGTTCGCAGTGTTGCTAACCAACAGTAACATTGTTAGTCCAAATTGACAAATTCTGGGAATTATTGTGCGATGTTTGAATGGCGTATCCGTGTAATTTCATTCCGCGTGTACGCTTGTTTCCCGTTTGGATTACAATTCAAGCCGGTGATGCATGTCCGATCTCGTTGTCGAGAGATGTGTTGCTGTGGGGTTAGGTTATGTCGAAATCTAAACGACTCTTTGGCTCGTTTTAGAAGCCGCGATCGATTTCGTGATTATATATTGATAATCTGAATAATGGAGTGTGGTATATTTGATACAGCTTGGAATACTTGCGTTGAAAGATGAATTTACCGCGTGTAACCGTGGTCGAGTGGAATATCAGTGTAAAGTAAGTATTGTATCGAACTTTGTAGAACACCAACCAACGTGAATATCTATTTTCTAACATTTTTACCTTCGGTTAAAGAATTGTATTATTGTCTACGATTATTATTTTTCAAAATTAGACGATCGTTCGTAGAAAAGAGAGCAGGATTTCGTTGAAAAAAAAAAAAAAAAAAAACTGCAAAGGCTATAGCACAGAATTAATCTGCGTATTTACCTCTATTCACCGAACTCTCCCCTTTCTTCCTCGATCAGCGAATTGACAGAAGCACAATCACCGTCCACTAGGCGTGCACGAACGCGTTCCATTAGCCGGTAGAGAACGGGCCGATTAATCAGCCCAGGTGGAGTAGTTTTTAAAAACGGCAAATTGATGAACTCGTCGGCGCGCTGGCAGCGTCGTTACCGGTCTAATCGGAAGATATACAGCCGCGAAAAATATACAGAAGCTGCTCGTGGCGTCCTTAAGCGGGGAGTATTAAGCGACGGAACGAGATGATAAACCGGCACGCGGCGACGGCAGAGAGAGAGAGAGAGAGAGGCCGGCAATAAATGTTTCGTGGCTCGTAAAAACGTTATTGCCTTCCGTGCGCGACCATGCCGGAAGAGGTGCCCGCGCGCGCGAACCTATGAGGTTATGTAAAGGAACGAGCGCGCGGAGACAACTGATCTCGTTGCGAAGTTAGCCGTGTGACGCGATCGAGAAGTGAACCGAGAATCTGCCGTTCGGCGAAGTTTGTTTGATTAATTTGAGTTCGGTCTTTTTGACGATTGACTTTATATGTTTAAAAAATATGTGTAACGTGTGGACGATTCGAATAGACGTAGGTTTTTACGACGAAGAATGGTTTATTTGAAAGGAATTTTTATGTCGTTGATTTGCGAGCTGAAAGACTTGGAGGTTAATAAAAGTCTGATCTGGCGAACCTAACCTAATTTACAATAATTGTTTCCAAAGTGCATTTCATCTATTTTTCCAGAGCAGATGAAATTAACTGAAGAATCTAATTTCAAGGCGTCACGAGCCAGAATATAAAAAGCTAGCCGGGGACTTTGTTTCACGGGAATTCTCCCTCCGCGTTACGCAGGCGACCGCTAATATCGCCATATAATCTGTCGCCGTTCCGAATAAATAACCCGCTGCGAGGCTAATAAAATTCGCCGGCTGCGAAATTTTGTCTGCCGCGTTGCTTAGGCGGACTCCGTTTCCCTGCGACAGAAGATTTCCCGCGATGCCGCGGGACGCTGTCTGGATAAAGACACATGGCCGACGAAGGCGGCGCGCGCGTCGCTTCATTTGTCTTTATATTAGCGGCACACGCCGTTGTAACGCTATAACACCGATGCCACACGACACCACGGAACCAACACAGCGACGTTCTTCACGGTGGAAAATAGTCTTTATGTATATAGGTGTATACACGTGGGATGGGGGACGGAAGATTGCATTAACCCCTTAAATGGGGAGTGACGATTCACTGGTGGGCTGTTTGATGAGATTAAGCTGGTTATTATGGAAAATTTCTGTTTTTTGTTTCTCGTTGTGGTGATGTACATATGTGTGTCGTGTGATCGGTGTATGTCATATGTCAGGTTGGTAAGGTTAGGTATTTCACCCTTGTCAGTTTTGTAGTGGAATTGATATATTAGGTACAGTGAACATGTATGCATGAATTAGAATTTTCGTGGGGTAATAGATTTATTAATCTATTAACCTCAAAAAAATTCTATTTCGTCCAGATATATTCACTGTACCTAATTGTACACGTACAGGGTGTCTGTTTTATCTCAATACAGTGAAATATCTTTTAAGGAAGTGTACTATACGTACTAATAAAGGAAAATTGTGTAATTTATAAGATGTTGGTAAATTGTACAATTTATAGTATGAATATTGTGTAATGGTCATTACAAGATATGAGTGTTTATTGTGTGTATACATAATTGACTGTAATATTGAAAAATTGTTTAACAAAGTAATAATAATTTATAACCTCTCTTTTATCAACCTTTAAAAATAAATAACCAGTAGAATAAATAGTTTCTTAGCTGTGTCTTTTTCTCTATTTGACTACTACCTAACCTCAAAGTTCTGAATCCTTTTTTTTATACCACCCTGTATGAAGGAAAGTTTCCATGGCTCGAGAGATGCACTCGCCTCATCCACTGTATCATCGAAGATTTCCACGTGGTTGGTTAGCCATGATGAGAAGGACGTTCAAGCGTCCAGTTTAATAAGGAACCAAAGTTTTCCTTATAGTGCAGATTCGTGTCGGTGAAACTTTCGAACGCATGAAAGATGGAAGAGAGAGAGAGAACTGCAGGAATTAACGTTTCTCTCTCTCTCTCTCACTCGCTCACTTCTTCTTCTCATCGTTTCTGCTGCAGCGAAAGGTGGGTGGTGCAGGTAAGGCCAGCGGAAAATAAACTTTTCTGCCGCGTACATAAAGTAATACCCGATCCAAGAGGAGCACGGGTTCCTTTTCAGCCTGGGGGCAGGATTGGATGGTGGCTCCCAAGGGGTTAATTTCGTGCCGAAGGGCGGAAAATATTCACGGTTCCTTAAAATCCGACGAGCTCACCGTCTCTCTTACGAGCTTCCTCTGGGGTGGCGTTATGCCAAACGGTCACTCAAAATACCACACCCCCTTTTTTTCTCCGCCTTGCCCCCGGTGGCAACGATCCTTTAATCCGCGCCAAACTGTCCGGGATATTTCCTCCCGGCTGAAAAGTCGACGAATAAAATTCTATCCCCCCACCTTTGCACACTTCTCTTTTCACTGCTCTCCACCAACTGTTTCACCTTTTTTTTCTTTCCTTCTTTTTTTTTTTTCTTCTCGCCTTAACGAATGGAGTCTTTGAGCATGATACTCTGTGCTGTTATGAACGTTAGGTATGAATAGAGGTTGTTAAACGTGGAAGGGGAGGTTAACCTCTTGGGGCGGGAATTTTTTCACAGTTAGAAGAATGCGAAAATGGAAATTTTGTTTTAGCCCCTTCAGGGACGATTTCTTTAAAATTAGGAAAGGTTGTTTAAATTGATAGCAATTATACTGTTTTCTTGTTAGACGATTCGCTGTATTTTCTTACTTTTTTTTATTAAAAATATTAATTTTGAAAATTATAATTTTCAAAAAATCTAAATGTACACATATGTGCCTGTGTCCCTGAAAAAGTAAATGGGTAAGTCCTGAAGAGATTGAAGGTGAATATTGTTCCCCTAAATCTTTACTCATTTGAAAAATATTTGGTCAGAATTTCTCTGTTAGAAATTTAATACGCATCCTGAATTTTTATTGCGTTTTATTGCGAAAAATTCCACGTACACTGTAGCTAAAAAGTTTGCATTGTAAGTTGGCAAAAACTTTCCAAAGAAGTAAGCAACCTTAAAAAACTTTTCAACAAATGCTTTTTTCACTCAAATTATTGTTAACTCTAATAAAACCAACTCGAAATCCATAAAAAATTGCAAGCAGATTCTTCAGACTATATTAGGTGTATAAATGAAAATCTGATCGCCATAATAAGCAGCTGTTTAACTTTTTACGTTAATTGTTATTGTGGACTATTGTATGGAAGCGTTTAAGCCTGCGAGGTAGTAATTACTGTTTTTGCCTGGTTCCAGTCTATCAGATGCACTGTCAACGGATGCTCCTGCGACTCGTTCACCCCAGGGAAGCGGCACATCCGGTACTGCGACAGGTGCCACCATGGATGGGTGCTACACGGTGAGTAGCTCGAATTTTTTCACCATTTACCAGAAACAAAAGACGTGCAGAAAGATTTATCTTAATCGTCAGCTATTAGTATGTTAATTTACCCTTCACATACTGTTTCATCCTTCCTTTTCATTCCCTAAATTTTAAATTACCCTCCATATGAAAATTTTAAGTAACCCAACCCTGCAAATTTTTTTTTTTATGAGATATTGACCCTAAAATTGATCTGAGTTACTTGAAATTTTTATACACAGTCCAATTTAAAATTTAAAGGGTGAAAAATGTGAGTGGGTGATTGAACACAATTGAAGACTAAAGAGATATTAGAAAACAAGCTAGAGTTGCTACTTTTCACATAATGTTTAATCTTTTCTTTTCATCCCCTAAATTTTCAGTTACCTTGTATATAAAAATTTTAGGTAACCTAACCCTGTGAATTTAAAAAATTTTTTTGTTTAGTTCTTGATCCCAAGATTGAGATGAGTTATTCAAAATTTTTATGCACAGTCTAATTTAAAATTGAAAGGGTGAAAAGTGTGGGTGAGTGATTAAACACAGTTGAAGACTAAAAAAATGTTACGGAAGAAATTGTATTGCGCGATCCGTGGTGATCAAAAAGATTTCCAAGCAGGAGTCGCGTGCATCCGGTTAAACGCAAATTTTCCAACTGTCAGCATACCTCATCCGACTGGCCCTCTGGGACCAAATTCAATTTTCCGAGGATGACCAGCGGCGTCCCTTCGCGGCCACCCTTCTCCTTTCGCCTGTGCACGCGATCCTCTGGCTGACCACGCGCGCCTATATGCATACGGATCGACCGGATATATATATACGGGGGCGCGCTTTATGTCCTCGTAAGTTTCGGAACGTGGAGAAGAAACGATCAGCCGCGTTCCTCGTCGATGATCGGCCCCGTGTTCCAGGGCAACATGCTCTTTGAACATACTGGGTGTAGCTCGTGTCACTTGTTCGAAATTCTACTCCATCTTTTGCGACCTGTTTTCTCCTTTTCTTTTTTATGACGGAGAAATTATGCGTCTGATTTGAGATTGTGTGGGTGTTAGGCTTGAGGTTACTCTCTTTTATCAGCTGAAGTTGTTGAACATTCTTTTGTTTTATGCAGAAATTACGGTTTCAATTTGAGGTTGTTCTGCGTGGGTTTTAGGTTTGAGGTGGATTGTTTTTGACATTTTATTTTCATACACAGGGTGTTTTCTTTTAAATTGAACAGCTAAAATATCTCTGTTCCTGTTTCTGTTCAAAGTGTAAGAAGATATACCGAAGACAATATTCGAATGAAAAATAGCCGTTTAACTCACGTACGATCGAGCCACCCCGTATATCGAGCACACAAAGAACCCCGTATTGACGTCTAGAGGGAGATCTCGACGTACGATGGCGTGTATCGCGCTTAAAATTCCGGCTGCTTGACCCGCGATAGATTGGACGCGCCGCGCCGCGGAATACATATCAATTTCGGGCTTCGACTACGTCCCACGGGGACGCAGTTGCATTTTCTTCCATGGCAACCTCTTCTTTCTATCCTCTGTATAGTCTTCAGGCCACCGAGGAGCGGGTATATCGCAAAAAAATTGCTCAAATGTGAAAAAAAGGATGAATTCTGAACCGTACAGCGAGAATAAACGAGAAGCAGTACTTGAAAGAGAGAACACCTGCTTTGCAAAATAGTATTAATCAATAGCTGTGATTCTCCCGATGAAAATGAGCCCAAACACGACATAAATTGGACTAGTTTTCAGTAGTAATTAATTTCAATATACCGGGTAGCCAAATGAGACGTACGACAATTTTTAAGGCTGCTTTTAAAACTGACTATTACCAAGATTCATTATTATTAAGTTAATTAGTCTTAATAACAATCAATCTTAAAAGCGTCCTTAAAAATTGCAGTACGTTTTCTTTGGATACCCGGTATATTCGAATTGACTACTACTAAAAGTAATCCGATATATACCGTGTTTGGGCTCATTTTCTTCAGGAGAATCTCACCAAATCATAGATACTACTTACATAAACATACGATGAAAATCAAAGCAATTGAAATGTTCGATATTTGACGATTTCGATTTTACGTTAGGTACAATTATTTCGCAATTCGAGGTACACCGTCGTAGTGGAAGCGGCAGATCCTCCTGTCCAACGATCTCTGGTCAGGTTTTTTTTCGCCTGTAGAACGAAAGAAACCGGTCGGTGAGTGAAGAACAAAAGGGGCAGTAACGACGAGTCGCCCGGTTGCCCGGGATTTCTAATTCTGCCGGGCTGCTTCGATCGGCCATGTCGAAAGAGAAATGACTCCGTTCGCGTTTCCGAGACCGATTCCGAGCAATTACCGGGAGATCGTCTTTTGTACAGGGCGATCTTGATGAATGGCCCCGGCTGATCTGTGTCGACAGAGTCATCGCCTAAAACGCTGCTCTCGATCGAAACGAAAGCAGGACACGGTGTGTAGCGGATATCGAGAGGAATTCCAGGCTGCTACCTGCCTCTCGTGCTCTGCAACCTTCATTTCGGCCATTTCGTGTCGTCCAAGGGATTATTAAGTGGTTTTAGCTGGTCCATTTGGAAAGAATGCTGGGGCACAGGGGACTATCGGCAATTAGAAAAATGTTTTCGAAGATTTCAGGGGGGATTTATGATAAATTGATTTCAATTCATTCCGCTTTTTCTTCGTAATTAATTTTAATGGTATACGGGGTGTGGCGAAGTTTGGGGAAGGTGATTCATCGTTGCAAAATGAGGCGAAATTTTGGAGTAAATTTTTATAGAAAATTTTCGAACGATTTATGTTATTTTAATTCCTATCATTGCAATAGTTGTCTAACCCACAATTTTGAGAAAATTGACATTTCAGTATACAGCAAAATTCTACAATGCCTGAGCAACATCAAAAAATACTTAAAAAAAAATTCATTTACACATGCTCAGAAATGGAAACATAAAAAAGTATTCTAAAACGTGGATAATTTCATCAGCCCGAATTTGATGAGAACAAACTTGTGAGGGTTGGACCAGTATCGTACCACTAGCCTAATTAACCCAAGCTTATCTACAAGCAAACAAGCCAATCTATTCCGAAAAAAAACTGTACACATAATTGAGGAAGACAGGCGACGCCCTATCTCAGCTGGCAAATTAAGCAGTTCTCGGTTGGTTCGTGGAAGAACTCTTCTCGTTCTCTCCGGCAGTTTTAAAAGTCCCGAAGGAAGAAGGCTCGTTTCGCAGTCTGGAAGGTGACAGGCCCCTGACGCGAGAGCAAGTGGCGAGCTCGTAAGAAATCACGGGTCCGTGGTATAGTACACTGACAAAAGCCTTTTTAAATTGTAATGAGCTGCCAAAGAGTGAATTATGTGCCGTCCAAGTGGCATCGAGTCGACGACGAGAGAGAGAGAGAGAGAGAGAGTGAGACACGTATCCTATAAAAGTCCATGCGCCTCCTATATACGTGTATCTGGCATCCCCGTGGCCGTACAGCCACCCCACGTCATGAATATATTTACATTGATCGTCCGTCTCGGCATTTTTCATTTGCCCCGTGGTTGTGTCAGCCGCCCGCGGATGTGTTCTAGCCATCCCTCTACTCTCGATACTTTATTTATATCGATGGGACGTGTCTGTCTTGTCGAGAGCGGCTCGATACAGTTTTCATCGCGAGCAACCATGGCCATTGGCCACGGCCTTCGCTAATGATCCTTTCGCCCTTTAAAGAGGTTAGCCGCGAGTGTATTCGTCGAGTATTTTCGAGGACAGTTGGCGTTCTTTCGGGATTGTCGTTCGAGGGAATTTCGGGATGGGTGATTTTGGGAGACGGGTGAAGATTTTTTGGTTTGGTTAGCTGTTGTATTTGAATGCTTGAGTATTTAGAAATTGGAATGTCTGGAAGGTTGAGTATTTGAATATATGAAAATCTGAGTATTCAAAAATTTGAATGAATACTCGAATACTTTACTATATCAATTTAAATGTTTCAATATTTGAATAGTTGAGTATTTAGAAATTGGAATATTTGAAAGGTGGAGTATTTGAGTATTTGAAAGATCGAATGAATACTGGAATACTTTGTCAAGTCAAAGAGATTCAATTTGTTTCTCATCAATTTTAAATTTCCCTTATCTTGAGATTCATCAATGAGATTTCAGTGCTTCCAGGCTTCGAAGCAGTGCACACAGAAAATAGGAATTCTAAATTTCCAAAATGTCATAAAAATTCAGGAGATTAACGCAGGGTTTTCAAACGAGTATTCGTGTATTCAGATTTTCAGTTATTCAGACTTTCAGATATTCAACTTTTTAAATATTCCAAATTTTCATATATTCAAACATTCAACCTCCCAAATATTCAAAATTTTCAAATATTCAATCTTCCAAATACTCAAAATTTTCAGTTACTCAACTTTCCAAATACTCAAATCTTTCACATATTCAAAAATTCAGCCTCTCAAGTATTCCAAATTTTAACTAAAAATTCTCAGATATGCAAATAAATATTCAAATACTCAAATTTCCAAATATTCCAAATTTTCAAATATTCAATCTTCCAAATACTCAAAATTTTCAGTTACTCAACTTTCCAAATACTCAAAATTTTCAGTTACTCAACTTTCCAAATACTCAAATCTTTCACATATTCAAAAATTCAGCCTCTCAAGTATTCCAAATTTTAACTAAAAATTCTCAGATATGCAAATATTCCAAATTTCACTCACCTGTTCAAACATTCAAATTTTCACCTGTACACATAAAATTTGACGAGAAAAGTGAGGAAAAAGAAATTCGGCGTTCCCATTGTTAAAATCCAGTAAAAATTCACGGAAAGAGGAGCCATACCAGCAGTACCTAATGGTAGCACAGGGTCGTAGGTACCATCTGCGTCTCCATCTGCGCGTTCGATTCGGCAGCTGGAAGACGAAGGAAGGTCGGCCGCGGGCTAGCAAGACGCCCGCCGAACTCTGGCCCCGCTCGCGCGCTCCTTCCAACAGGGATCTGCTGCGCGTCTCTGAGGCGCGTGCGCGATAAATCATCAGGGGGGAAGGCGTCGCCCCGAGTGACACGTTAATAAATGCACCGGCAAACCGTGAATTACACCGGATCAAGGGGTTGCTCACCCCCTGTGTCGCGCCCTTTGTCTCGCACCACCGACTATATACACCTTGTCTCCTCCATTATCCACTGTGTCGAGATATCGAGACATCGAATATTCGCGCGTTTACACGAGAACCACGAATAAATTTGCCTGTAATTGTCCCCTTTAGCGAGACACGGAGAATAGAATGGTTGAGGGATTTTTTTTATTTGGTTTTGGTGGATTTATGTTATTTTAGGAATGGAGGAGATCGGTTCCGGGGAAATGATTATGGAAATGAAACGATGATTTTTAGCGAGAAGAGACTGTCGGTGGGAAACATATGGGAATTGAGGAGTGGTTTGTTGCTTTTTCAAGTGGAATTGTGGGGAGTTGGAAGGATGTTTGGAAGCGATTAGGTTTATCTGGAAATTTGGGGGGAGAGGTTTGTGGAGATGGTAAAGTGGGGAAAGTTAGGAATTTGTGGGTTGGGAATTGGAGATTTGAGAAAGTTGGGAGAGGGAAGATTATGTATTGAGAAATTACGTGTTTGTTAAGTTTGGAAATATCTATATACACCTTGTCTCCTCCATTATCCACTGTGTCGAGATATCGAGACATCGAATATTCGCGCGTTTACACGAGAACCACGAATAAATTTGCCTGTAATTGTCCCCTTTAGCGAGACACGGAGAATAGAATGGTTGAGGGATTTTTTTTATTTGGTTTTGGTGGATTTATGTTATTTTAGGAATGGAGGAGATCGGTTCCGGGGAAATGATTATGGAAATGAAACGATGATTTTTAGCGAGAAGAGACTGTCGGTGGGAAACATATGGGAATTGAGGAGTGGTTTGTTGCTTTTTCAAGTGGAATTGTGGGGAGTTGGAAGGATGTTTGGAAGCGATTAGGTTTATCTGGAAATTTGGGGGGAGAGGTTTGTGGAGATGGTAAAGTGGGGAAAGTTAGGAATTTGTGGGTTGGGAATTGGAGATTTGAGAAAGTTGGGAGAGGGAAGATTATGTATTGAGAAATTACGTGTTTGTTAAGTTTGGAAATATTGAAAACTCACAAATTTCATATTTGGAGATGCTGAAAACTCCCAAATTTCATATTTGGAGATGCTGAAAACTCACAAATTTCATGTTTGGAGATGCTGAAAACTCACAAATTTCACTTTTAGAAATATCGAAAATTCCAAAGTTAACCACTGAGAAATTTCAATTCCCACCACTTCCCAAAAACTTCAAACTCAATTCGATCAGTGTCACCAACAACCGCGACGTTAGATACTCCAAGCTGTCACCAAAGCAACCCTACACACCCCAAAAAAACCAAAAAAAAAGAAACAGTTCCTCCAAAACAAGAAATAAATAAGAATTCGAAAGAGATCTCGCGGCCAGTTCACGGGAACGATGATTTACGAGCTTGCGTTCGGTCAGTGGAATTTGTCAGACCTCGTCCACGGACGCCCATCGGTGTTCCTACGACCTCTCGATATCGATCTTCCTTCACACTATCCCTCCACGCTGTATTACACACACATCTACCAATCGAAATCTATCAGACAAGGAAAAAGTTGATCAAAGAAGAAGAAGAAGAAGAAAGAGGAAAAAGAAGAACGATGATTTGAAACTCGACGTGAAAGCCGCTCGTTCCCTTGGTGAAAAACTAAGTCTTAATAAAGCGGAGGAGGGAAGATAAATCGGTGCATTAGCATCTCGCCAGTCGTGATTCATGGTGACGTTCGGTTTGCTCGTAGAGCTAACGGGGAATATGATATATCGTCATTAGCATCGGTTTCGTATTAGAACAAATAGCAGCGCGTTTTAGCCCTTAAAAGGCGCGACCTGTCCCGGCCCTTAATGGCTCGTAATGCACCCTTGGAAAACTCGGGCTGGAGGAGGAACGGTGTCGCGGTGACTTGTACTTTCCACGGCCATCTGCCCTCGAGCTTTGTTTCAAAGGCGACCGGGAACAATGGGGACGTCCATAACCGGCGATCAGCCAGACCTCGTTCTGCTTCGAAATAGAGACGCTCGATGATGCTGGGTTTTGAGTAAACTTTAGAAACAGTCGCTCGGTATTGTGCTCTTCGTGGTGGATTTCTTCGTTTGTGCGACAGGTTGCGTGCGAGAGGTGTTTGCGGTTTTGATAATTGGAGAAATTCTTGGAACAGTGAATTTGCAGAATTTCAAACTTTCCCCAGTGTTAAAATTATAAATCTTCAATATTTCCAAGTGCCAAATTTCTGAATCTTCGAGATTTCCAAGTGTTGAATTTCTGAATTTTCACAATTTCCGAGTGTTAAATTTCCGAATCTTCAAACTTTCCCCAGTGTTAAAATTATAAATCTTCAATATTTCCAAGTGCCAAATTTCTGAATCTTCGAGATTTCCAAGTGTTGAATTTCTGAATTTTCACAATTTCCGAGTGTTAAATTTCCGAATCTTCAAACTTTCCCCAGTGTTAAAATTATAAATCTTCAATATTTCCAAGTGTCAAATTTCTGAATCTTCAAGATTTCCAAGTGTTGAATTTCTGAATTTTCACAATTTCCGAGTGTTAAATTTCCGAATCTTCAAACTTTCCCCAGTGTTAAAATTATAAATCTTCAATATTTCCAAGTGTCAAATTTCTGAATCTTCAAGATTTCCAAGTGTTGAATTTCTGAATTTTCACAATTTCCGAGTGTTAAATTTCCGAATTTTCAAACTTTCCCCAGTGTTAAAATTATAAATCTTCAATATTTCCAAGTGTCAAATTTCTGAATCTTCAAGATTTCCAAGTGTTGAATTTCTGAATTTTCACAATTTCCGAGTGTTAAATTTCCGAATTTTCAAACTTTCCCCAGTGTTAAAATTATAAATCTTCAATATTTCCAAGTGTCAAATTTCTGAATCTTCAAGATTTCCAAGTGTTGAATTTCTGAATTTTCACAATTTCCGAGTGTTAAATTTCCGAATCTTCAAACTTTCCCCAGTGTTAAAATTATAAATCTTCAATATTTCCAAGTGTCAAATTTCTGAATCTTCAAGATTTCCAAGTGTTGAATTTCTGAATTTTCACAATTTCCGAGTGTTAAATTTCCGAATCTTCAAACTTTCCCCAGTGTTAAAATTATAAATCTTCAATATTTCCAAGTGTCAAATTTCTGAATCTTCAAGATTTCCAAGTGTTGAATTTCTGAATTTTCACAATTTCCGAGTGTTAAATTTCCGAATCTTCAAACTTTCCCCAGTGTTAAAATTATAAATCTTCAATATTTCCAAGTGTCAAATTTCTGAATCTTCAAGATTTCCAAGTGTTGAATTTCTGAATTTTCACAATTTCCGAGTGTTAAATTTCCGAATCTTCAAACTTTCCCCAGTGTTAAAATTATAAATCTTCAATATTTCCAAGTGTCAAATTTCTGAATCTTCAAGATTTCCAAGTGAAAAAAAAAAAAAAAAAAAAAAAAAGGAAGAAAGTACAGCAAAGACGTGGCACATCGACGTTAAATCTAGCAATTTCATTAAAAGCAGCCGAACGACCGAGTTGACGCTGCATAAATTGCGTCGAAATAGTCCCCCTAACGAGGTTAAGGATTATCCAGCCGGTGTCGCCTGTTTCTCGTTTATTCGACGTTCATTTCGGGCGCCCGCCCGGCCTCGGTGATCTCGCGGAAATATACACAGGTCGTCGTGCGCGTCCTCCTCTTGCAGCACGAATAAAATTTTCGGGGACTTTTAATTACCGGTCGCAGAGAGCAGTCCCTCCCCTAGTTCGCTTGTTTTTATATTGTTCGCGTTACTTAACCCTCTTCTTGCCCACACGCTTCCGGCGAAATCACGCCCCGGACCCGTGAAGGTGCTTTTGTTCGCGCAGTGAACATGGGGTCGGTGGAATTTTCGGCTGGTTGCTTATGGCGTTGCACGCGGATTTACGAGAAACCCTTGTTACGCCGGTTTTTCGATTTTTCTAACGTTCTAATTTACGCGCTCAGTTTTGTAGCGTTTATTATAAAAGTTTACTTTTCTACTATAATTATACAGGACGATTAGAGGAAATATTGTAGGAAACAGAATACATAAGCGTAGTTAGAGATTTGTGAAATATAATTATGATAAACAACACTGTTAACGCTTTATCGCTTCGCGGGAAAAAGGACCACTCTCGCTATTCTTTTCCTATTTATATGGTCTTCGCGACCCGCGTTCGCTCTCCCTCACTCTCTTCGCTACAAAAACACACTCGCTCTTGTTTAATAACAACGAACGTCGGAAGGCCACGGCCTTCCTATTTGTGTCGCAGATTTTTCCAGAAAACAAGCTCGACCAGCGGCCAGCTCCGGTCATTGACCTCCTACAGTATAATCGTTTATGTGGAGGTAACGTTAGAATTAACGACTGATAACGTAATGTATCGTTAAAAAATTTACCTGTTTACCACCATTGCTAATATATCCTGCGAATTGTCTTCCTTTTTGCAAAAAAAAAAAAAAGAAAGAAAATATATCTCCATAGAAGTGTAAGGCGCTGTGCGACGCGCATAGACAACGACCGCGGGACCCGAGCCGCAGGGAGCCCTAGACAAGGATGAACGCAGGCTGTACCCCCAGTTCATGGCTTGCAGGGTCCTTGTCCGGTACCGAACCATAATTCATCTTTACATATTTCAACCATCAGCTCACTTCTTCCACTCCCACAATCCTAAAGGTCAAAATTTGCCAACCTCCACCGATCATCATCTCCACTTGAAACACACCTACAACCACACCCCCTCCGACATACCAAATATATGCTCAACCACCACCACAATTTCTCAGATAGAAACGAGGGAACACGAGCGCCACCTAACCTAACCTATAATTTTGTACAAGTCCGTTACACATAACGACAACTATACACCATTTCTTTTTGTTAAAAATTTAACTAGTTGAATTAGATGATAAGTGTAAAACTTGTCGAGACATTTTTAACCCAACCACTCTTCTCCAAATTGATTTGCGTGATTAGATTGACGCAGACCGCCGTTCCACTAAAAATCGTCAGTTCACACGATACGCGAACGGTACAACAACTACTACTAAATGTAACTACTGTTACGAATCGCGATGAGCTTGTTGCGAAACCGGTAATTGTCCCTCTTTTTGAGTCAGACCATTTGAGGAATCTGCTCGGGTTAGAGAATTCGGGTAGTGCTCGGAAGATCGACTATTAACGCACGACAGTTTGCTATTAAAACTGTGTACTTGTGAATGAACGTGAACAGAGCGCGGAATGCCTAAGCTTACCGATCGGAAAATTGTGTGTCGTGTCGTGTGGTGT